TCCCGAGCCAGGGTCCCCGTCCCCCCTCCCCGTGCCCCCGTACCCGTGATGAGGGGCAGGCTGTCGACGGTGGCGGTGACGTCCCGCAGGCTGTACAGCACCCGGTCGGCCGGCGCCAGCTCCTCGCTCTGCCCCACGATGCAGCAGCCCACCCGCTCCAGGATGCTCTGCATCTGTGGGACCAGCCCTGCGCTGCCACCGTCCCGTCCCACAGCCCATCCACATCCCACGGGCATCCCAGGGGCACCCCACATCCCACTGGTGTCCCCCATCCCATCAGCATCCTGTGCCCTGTTGGCATCCTGCATCCCCTTGGTATCCCATGGGCATCCCATGTCTCATCCTGCATCCCATGGCACCCCACATCCCATCAGCATCCTGCATCCCATGGGCATCCCATATCCCATCAGCACCCCACATCCCATCAAAATCCTATCAGCATTCCATGTCCCATCAGTGTCCCACATTTCATTGGCATCCCGTGTCCCATCAGCATCCCATTGGCATCCCATGTCCCATTGGTGTCCCCCATCCCATCAGCATCCTGCCCCCCATTGGCATCCTGCATCCCATGGGCATCCCACGTCTCATCCTGCATCCTGTGTCCCATCAACATCCCACATCCCATCAGCATCCTGTGTCCCATTGGCATCCCACATCCCATCAGTGTCCTGCATCCCATGGGAATCCCGCATCCCATTGGCATCTTATGTCCCATCAGCATCCCATGTTCCATCCTCATCCCATCAGTATCCCATGTCCCACTGGCATTTCATCGGCATCCCACATCCCATCAGCATCCCACATCCCATCAGCATCTCACATTCCCACATCCTACCAGCATCCCACATCCCATTGGCATCCTGCATCCCATCAACATCCCATCAGCATCCCGCGTCCCATCAACATGCTGCATCCCATCATCAGCACCCCACATCCCACCAGCACCCCACATCCCATCATTGACATCCCACATCCCATCAGAATCCTATCGGCATCCCATGTCCCATCAGTGTCCCACATTTCATTGGCATCCCGTGTCCCATCAGCATCCCATTGGCATCCCACATCCCATTGGCATCCCACATCCCATCGGCATCCCGCATCCCATTGGCATCCCATCAGCATCCCATCAGCATCCCGTGTCCCACCAGTGTCCCACCTCCCATCATTGGCATCCCCCACCCCTTTGCAGCCCCTGGTCCCCTCTGCCTATCATCCCCTCCGGGTGACACAGTGCTGGGGTCCCTGTCCCTGTCCCTGTACCCATCCCCGTCCCCGTCCCCGTCCCCATCCCCGTCCCC